TCAAGGTGTATGTCTGCGATGTACAAATATATGCCCATGTAACGTCAATCACACGAACACACACGACCTAACAATATACATATGTGTTTATAAGTAATATATATATATATATATATATATATATATATATATATATATATATGTGTGTGTGTGTGTGTGTGTGTGTGTGTGTGTGTGTGTGTGTGTGATTACATCCACGTCGCTGCGTGCATTCGCGTGAGAGTTTTATCACGTGACTATGATTTGGTCTTCCGCTGTCCGTTTTTGCATCTGAAGTTCTGAAAATTGTTCTCAGACAAGATAAGAAGTTAATGGGTTTCTCGTCACATTTTTTTTTTTGGGGGGAGGGGGGAGGGTGTTTTTTGGGGGGAGGGGGAGGGGGGTGTTGGTCGTGTTGTATATTTTTGCTGTTATGACCTTTACGTTTTCGCTTATCGCTGTTATTATACGTATCAATCATCTTGTCACCGTTTCTATCATTATCGTTGTTGTTGTTCCTAAGCATTTTGTCATTATTATGTAATCTCTTATGTAATAGAATCATTATAGCTACCATTATTGGAGTCTTAATTATCATTATCATCACTTTTGTCGTTATTTTATACGTATTGTATCATTATCGCTATCATCGTTATCATAACTATCAATATCAGGATAATCATCAATATCAGTTGTTATCATTATGATGATTATTATCATTTTCATTATCATGATCATTATCATCATCATCATCAATGTCTTCTTATTACTACCATTGTTATTATTCGCGTTGTTCACATGATCATATTATTATTATCATCATTGTTATCATTATTATTGGTTATTATCATTATCATTATCATCATCATTATTATCATTGTTATCATATTACCATTATTATCATAATAATTATTTTTTATCATATCATTATCATCATAATCATTATCATTTTACTATTAGCATTATTGTCAATATTAATATTAACATTTATCCTCATCATCATCATTAGCATATTATTACCAACATCATCATTGTTATCATTATCATTATAATCATTAGTAGTATTTCATTACTATCATTATGATCAATATCATTGTTACCTATTTTATCATATCATTATTATAATTGGTGCTGTCATTATCATTATCATTACTTCCATTATTATTGTTGCTGTTATTATTATCATTATTATTTCGATTTCATTATTATTATTATTATCATCATTCATTATTTCATTATCATTATCATCATTATCATTATCATTATCATTATCATTATCATTATCATTATCATTATCATTATTATCATTATCATTATCATTATCATTACCATTATTAACATCAGTAGTAGTAGCAGTACTATCATTATTATCACTATTCATTTCATTGTTATCTTTACTACTGTTGTTATCATCATTTATATCATTACTATCAGTAGTAATAATAGTAGTAATGCTGTAGCGAACGACCGACTAACTAGCGAACCGCCACTCGAGTGTTTGTGCAGGACCGGCTTCTTGTCCTTCGTCGGCTGCACTGACCGGTCGGTGCTCGTGGGAGGAAGACCAACCAATTCCTGCAGATAGGCCTACCATGTCCTCATAGTCCTTCGTCAGCAGCACTGACCGCCCGTCGCTCGTGGGAGGAAGACTAACTCCTGCAGATAGGCCTACCTTGTCCTCATAGTCCTTCGTCGGCTGCACTGACCGGTCGGCTCTCGTGGAGGAAGACTAACTCCTGCAGATAGGCCTACCATGTCCTCATAGTCCTTCGTCTGCTTCACTGACCGGTCGGCGCTCGTGGGAGGAAGACCAACCAACTCCTGCAGATAGGCCTACCATGTCCTCATAGTCCTTCGTCGGCTTGCACTGACCGGTCGGCGCTCGTGGGAGGAAGACCAACCAACTCCTGCAGATAGGCCTACCATGTCCTCATAGTCCTCCGTCTGCTTCACTGACCGGTCGGCGCTCGTGGAGGAAGACCAACTCCTGCAGATAGGCCTACCATGTCCTCATAGTCCTTCGTCGGGCAGCACTGACCGTCGGTGCTCGTGGGAGGAAGACCAACCAACTCCTGCAGATAGGCCTACCATGTCCTCATACACTGACGGGCGGCGCTCGTGGGAGGAAGACCAACCAACTCCTGCAGATAGGCCTACCAGTCCTCATAGCCGTCTGCTTCACTGACCGGTCGGCGCTCGTGGGAGGAAGACCAACCAACTCCTGCAGATAGGCCTACCATGTCCTCATAGTCCTTCGTCGGCAGCACTGACCGGTCGGCGTTCGTGGGAGGAAGACCAACCAACTCCTGCAGATAGGCCTACCATGTCCTCATAGTCCTTCGTCGGCTGCACTGACCGGTCGTGCTCGTGGGAGGAAGACCAAGTCCTGCAGATAGGCCTACCATGTCCTCATAGTCCTTCGTCGGCTTCACTGACCGGTCGGCGCTCGTGGGAGGAAGACCTGCATATCGGCCCACCATGTCCTCATAGGGGTGATTTTAGTGAAGTACACGGTATATAATTCACATGGCTTACGGCCGGTTTGTTAAAATTTGTGCCATGGCCCGACCTAATTCACATTCGTCACACAGACATGCACATACACGGAAATAAATGCATGTCTATCAGTCTAAAACATGCATGTCTACCGAACAGATAGAAAATAAATTCATATCTAATTGATAGATCGATAGATATGTATTTATATCTGCTTATATGGATGTCTGTTTATACGTATATTCTTTGGGTTTGGTCTGGCACAATTTTAACAAACCGGTCGATTATCATCAACAGAGATAAATAATTTGAAACACATAAGGCTCCATTCTTTTGATATTTGAACATTGTTCCAGCTGATGTTTGTCTTGATTTCTCGCCACAGGCCATCTCTCATAACAAAGTAATGCAATGAATCCATAAGTTATCCAAAAATGTTAAATTGACAAAGGACTTCACGATTTAACACATGAATGATCTGGACTTCATGGTATGATGACAATGATACGTTATGGTGAAATAATCATTCACAGCTAACACCACAATGCCACTATAATTATCATTTCATTATCATCATCATATACCATCTATTGTTTGTAGTAGTACTGCTGCTACCACTGCTACTCTAATCATAATCATCATTGTACTTATTATGAATACCATGATCATTATTATTACAATTATAACTATTATTCTGATCATCATCATTATCAACATTACCTCCATTACTATTTCCTTCTACATAAGTTCTCGAGGAAGACAATTATTAATATGATATTTTGGGTGACTGGGAATTTAAAGACTAGAAGGAGGAGGAGAAGAAAAAACGAAGGAGAAGAATAAGGGAAAAAGAAGGAAAAGATGAAAGAAGAAAGAGGAGAAGGGAAATAGGAATGATAAAAGATAAAAGAGAAGAAGAAAAGGAAAAATAAAGAGGAAAAAATCGGGAAGGAAAAAAGAAAATAAGAAAAAAGAAAGATAGAAAAAGGAAAGAGAAGAATAAGAAGTGAAGAAAAGAAGACGAACATAAAGAGAAAAAGAAGAAACAAAAAGATAATAAGATTTAAAAAGGATTTTTTTTTAATCCTGTCTTTCAAGTCGCAGTCTCCAAGGAGCATTCGAAGGTCAAACACATAATCACGTAATTTTGTTTTTTTGGGAGAGAGAGAGAGAGAAAGAAAGAAAGAGGGAGAGAGAGAGAGAGAAATAAACATAGGAGGGAGAGTGACCGAAGGAGTAGCGAAGTCTAGTCTATTGCTTCTTGAGTGAAGTTAACCTTCGTGAGTCTCAACGAACAGTAATTACCTGCTTTCTTGTTCTGAGTATTACGATATGACGGTTTGATTACTTAAATGACGACCCTGAGGCGGTGTATAACTATTTCATTTTCATTATATCTCTCTCGTTGACTGAAAATAAATGTCTTTATCATTTATTTTAAGTATGTCCTTTAAGATATATCTAAACAGAGACTAAGATTACCGAAATGAGAATATGACTATATTTTGCAATGAAATTATGTATGTATTGTTATTGTATTGTCAGTATATGTGGCGAATAAGATGAAAGGCAAAAATATATCAAGATTTACACGGGTAACTTCTAGATCATAAAAGTTACCCGTACTTATATAAAGAAAACGAGTTAATATTTTCCTCAAAGAAAATGTTAAAAATCTATGGGAAACTATAAAAAATCACAATAAATTTCAACATCATTAAACAGGTTAGTTCTGATTTCCATGTACATTCTAGACATTTACTCAGAACAAATTTCTAATAACTTGACAATACAGATATACACAAGGCCTTATCATCACAAGAACTTGAATGCGTGAATATTTTTATTTTATATTATGCAGGCCTAAGTCCGATTGTTTACTTGCTAAAATTATGTAGTTTTGGTTACTTAACTATTAAGTTTGTTACCTCTTCCAAAAGCAAAATTGTCTAAGATTTATTCTAATCTCACTCTTTACCACAGCAGCACACACACACACACACACACACACACACACCACACACACACACACACACACACACACACACAACACACACAACACACATACATTCGCGCGTAAACATTAAGTGACCAAATTGAAAAGTTAATGGCCACCAGACGAAACACCTGTATGTAAATGCTTATTCCCTACCTCGTTCACCTTAACCTCACCTGCAGAAAAAAGTAATTTGAACGAATCGAAAACGAAAAAAATAACAATGTTGCAATGTTGTAATTCCTATATCACTTAGGTGATGCTTCGTGTAGTGTTTTGTCTTGTCTTAGTTATTCATTGGATAATTTTGTACACACAACACACGCATACACACACCATACACACACATACATACACATATAATATATATATATGTATGTGTGTGTGTGTGTGTGTGTGTGTGTGTGTTGTGGTGTGGGTGTGTGTATGTTATGTATATATATATATATAATAATTATAATATAATATACTATAATAATATATATATAATAATATATAAATATAATATATATATNTCAAACAAACTACTTCATTCTCCAAACAACAGATATAGCTCGAACAACCTGATATAAGTCTCGTCCTTATGGTGGTCAGTGCTGGTCGAGTGGTCCATCACCTCAGCCAGGTCCTTGGGTAGGCCTACCGTCGGGAAGATGTAGTCCATTTCTCGTGCTTGGGATTCCAGTTTGGTCACGTAGGTGTAGTCCACAGTGCAGGGAGAACACATGGCCGTGTAGGTGTTCCTGTTACACGAGAAGTTGGGGAGTTGTTTAAGGTCTTTGCGAAAGGTGGTTTGAAGGGAAATTGTATTTTGAGGTGTTTGGGAGTGCTGTGTATTGGATAAGGTTGTATGTGGTATGAGAAGGATGTCGGCAGTAATTGTATTCTGTGATTAAATGCCATGTTATAAAGTGATTCGAGTTTATTGTGACCAATATTGAGAAATGTATGAGTGATTTATAATTTCCCATCTTTTATGTAATTGATGTTTTAATCTTAACTATGAACATCTGTTACTGGCGTTGTATACATTCAATGCGATTCCTATTTTTAACAATAACACATGAATGTATCTTTCTTTGGTCGTCTTTCTAAGGCTTACCAGTGTCGGTTGACTCTGTTCTCCGCAAATGACTGCACGACATTGTGGAGGAATTCCGTAAAGGTGAAAGTCGGTTGCAGCAACTTGTCGATCGCAATGAAGACGCTCATGGGGTAGCTGAGGAATTCAGAGTAGTTAAAAAATGGACTTAGATGCTCAGCCTCCGCTCCTTAGTTACGAATGGAATCTCTGCAACTGCAAACGACTGTTCTCCCCTCTCCCGTTGCTCACCTACAAACTACAAGTGCAAACTACAAATGCCAATCCATACCTCTTATCACAAGTCAATGCATACTATTAATCCTCTCTGTTAGAATTCCAAAAGACAAATGTGTTCGCAGCATGGTATTCTAAGCCCGTTCTTTTGTCATAAACAAAAGTATGACATGTGGTGCCTCCAAGACAAGTATTTTGCCTCCTCATGTTCCAGCAAGCCAAATATCGTGTCATTTTCCTGAGGCTTTCCATGTTGAGAAGGCATGTGTATGAGCTCTGTTAGCAACTTCACGAGACACCTGCCAGAATATATAACGTCACAGCGCGTTATGAAGAGAACAGGTGAAAGACTAAGCTCTACATCCCAATCAAGAACTGACCTAGAATAAAGAGAACTTTGCAGCTACAGAGGTCATCTACATGTCGTGAAAAAGGTTCCGGGAGGAGAACTTGGTCAGCTCCCTCTAAACCTACATTCCTTCATCCCATCAGACTTGGGTTGAAGATGTAGTACGTCTTTGCAGCTACAGAGGTCATCTACATCCGTTCTCGTAAAAAAAAAAAAAAAAAAAAAAAAAAGTTACAAGAGGAGACTAGAACGCTTGATGGATAGGAACACGTTGAGCAAATGAAAATTATATATCCTTACATAAAAAATAATAATAACAGAAAATACAGAAACTGTTAGAAATGAACCCACATACAAACATACAGAACACAACGTATCAGAGCATTAGCTAGCTATACGACAAATTTACTAGTGATAAGAGTAACAAATGGGAGTTAGCGGTTAACGGTTAACATGCCACGAACACCGGAGCGTTTTGCGGTTACACACGTGGGCGAGTAGCGGTGTTTGCGGTTACAGAGATGGCGCTCATAGGCGAGGAGTGGAGGTTGAAGCTGAGCATCCAAGTCCCTCTTAATCACTGATTTAAGGTATAAAAAACATCTATCTTTATAACCTTTCATATATAGATAGATGTTTTTTTATTATATTGCTTTACTAGACTTTACATTGCTATATTATGGGTGTGTATATGTGTGTAATTTAACCCTACTTTGAATGAAAAGAAAATTGGTCCTCAGTTTGACAAGTTTCATAGACGGAAAGTCTTCTATATAAATCGAGGACATGCTTTTTATTATACAGATACCCATACTTACATTAGCGTGTGCCCATGAATATTGTCGTATAGATAGATATAGATGTATAGATATACACATATAAAGATGCAGAAAAAAACGAAGCTGAGCAACGTATACCGAACACTTACTTTTTTCCAGGTTCGAGAGGGTCTTGTAGGCCTATCTTAAGGTGTAGATCTGGAGGGATGCGTCCATTGCAGAATAAGGTAGGCATGTAGAAGTCCCTCCAATGTCTCTGTAGAAGATATGCATTTACTGTTATCATTTTAATTGAGGAGCAAAGTTGATGGTTTGATTCCCAGTTTGAAAGTTCTCCATTGGATAAAATATATTTGTGTACGTTAGAAAATATCTGAACACGAAATAATTGAAGAAATGCATTACAAGGCGAAAACAATTGAAGAATAGGTGGAAATAATAGAATAGTTATACCATACGTGGCTCTTCCAGTTTTTTTTTATCATAAAGTCGTTTTTAAAATTAAAGTCATTAAATATTTTCAGTGTTTCAGTATTCAGCCATTGCTTGTGACATTAACACGAAAAAAATGGTAAAGCATGGTTCAAAATAAGTAAATTGTTAGAAATACAGCCAGTAGAATTCTTGCTTAAATGACTGAAAATTTACCTCACGGAGTTGAGAATTAACCGTCTCTAATGGTTATTATAACCCTGCCCAAGCCTATATCATATGGTTTTACCAAGGAACGTATAACTAGGTAATTCCACTTCCATTTAGTAGCCATATTGAACCCAAAATTAAATTGACTTTTCCCCTGGAGTATTCTGACAGCTTTTAATGGTAAAGAACTATTCATTATCGTAAATGCAAGAGGGCAACTTTGGTTTTAGTGTTGATAATCATAACAATAGCAAGTCAATTATTCAAATAATTGATGTTCTGATATCTCACAGAGCACTCTCATTGGCTAAACATGGTGACGTCACAAGCTCCACCCCTTTTTCTAGATCTCAACAAATTTATATTATGGTAAGTGTTTTTTCAGGATATTTTTCTTTTGAAAGTGGTTCATAAATAACCATGATTAAAAATGATCGAAAAAGAAACCAAGAAAAAAATAATAAAATATATAGATTTGCAATGAATAAAGTTGATGAGGCGGGGCTTAGCTCGGAAGTTGCCAATTAGGATTTTCATCAAGATGGAGTGGTTATACCTGTATATGTATTGCTTGGGTTTCACTCCTCGATGTTTCCTTTAGGTTTATATTATTTTATCGTTTGAAAAATAAAGAAAAAAATGTAAACAAAAAGTAAAAAAAAAATGAAAGTAAAAAAGATTTTTTTTTTTTTTAAAAAAAAGTTCAAAGGAAAACACATAAAGTTTCCTCACCAGCTGCGATTTTTGAAGAGTTACGCGAAATAGCATTAACATATGCAAATTTTCTTGTGAGGCAGTTTATTACTTTGAGCCAAAGATTATCGCATGTAAAAGGTGTGTCAATAAAAAAATATAGTAGAATTTTACAATATATCAGTTATATCAGAATATAAAAAGCATCACGTAAGGAAACATGTATTTTCTTGTCATATCCAGTATAATTTCAAGTAAAAATGATTGTCCAAAGAGGTGTGTATGTGGTACCTATGTACCTACGATATATGATGTGCCTATTGCTTATACATAGGCCTATCGTATTTACCCTTACCTCGTGTAGGGAAGGATGAGCACCATTTTCAAACTTATCTCTGTAGCAGGACACTAATCGAGTCAAGGGATGTCTGTGGAATAAAGAAAGGGATTTTTGTGGTGTTAAAAAGGGGATTTTGTGGTGTTAAAAAGGGGATTTTGTGGTGTTAAGGGGAAAGGGGATTTTGTGGTTAAATTTTTGTGGTGTTAAAAAGGGGATTTTGTGGTGTTAAAAAGGGGATTTTGTGGTGTTAAAAAGGGGATTTTGTGGTGTTAAAAGGGGGATTTTGTGGTGTTAAAAAGGGGATTTTGTGGTGGTAAAAAGGGGATTTTGTGGTGTTAAAAAGGGGATTTTGTGGTGTTAAAAAGGGGATTTTGTGGTGTTAAAAAGGGGATTTTGTGGTGTTATGTTTTCGAGCGTGTTTCACCTGAGAAAAATAGATTTCTGCCCATGTTGGAGTTTTTGCATGTCTTGGGAGTTCTTGGAAGCAAAGTGTGTGTGTTTGTGTTTATAGATAGATAGGTATAGGCACGTGTTTGTGTATGAATCGATATTAAGATATGTGTGAATAGAATATGTACATATATGTATACAATTATGTATGCGTTTTAGACCCCATAGGCCTCTCTAACAGAGCTCGTTCACACACTTCATAGCAACTTAAAACATAATTATTGTACACATTATGACGGCTTCCATATTACAAATCTTGAATAACATAACTTTTTTTTCATCACATACAAACACACAAACAACACGATTTTTTAATCACATACAAATACACAAACAACACTTTTTCATCACATACAAACGCACACGCAACACGATTTTTTAATCATGCAAACAAACAAACAACACGTTTTTTTAATCACATACTAACACACAAACACGATTTTTTTAATCATGCAAACACACAAACACGATTTTTTAACCACATACAAAAACACTATTTTTTCATCACACACAACGCGAATTTTTTCATCACACAAACAACACGATTTTTTCATCATACACAAACACACAAACAACACGATTTTTAATCACATACAAACAAACAAAAACGATTTTTTAACCACACACAAACACACAAACACGAATTTTTCATCGCACACAAACAACACGTTTTTTGTTTGTTTTTTAATCACATACGAACCCAACACAAACACATTTTCTCCCTGTTTTCTTTACCTCACGGTCACAATGCTCGACGTAGCGGCTATGTTCCTTAAGACGACTTCCTGGGGCTTCCTGAGTAGACGTCTTCTTCTGGGGTCGTGTGTGTTGGTCTTGATGTGGTTCAGGTCGCAGATTCTCCGACGCCACGACATGGAGCCGACCTGGAGAGAGAGGGGGGGAGGGGGAGAGAGAGAGAGAAGGGGGAGGGAGGAGAGAGGAGGGAAGAGAGGAGAGAGAGAGAAGAGAGAGAAGGAGGGGAGAGAGAGAGAGGAGGGAAGAGAGAGAGAGAGAGAAGAGGGGAGGGAGAGAGAGAAGGAGGAAAGAAGAGAGGGGAGAGAGAGAAAGAGAAGAGGGAAGAGAGAAGGAGGGGAGGGCGAGAGAGAGGAGGGAAGAGAGAGAGAGAGGTAAAGCGAGAAGAGAGAGAGAGAAGGAGGTAAAGCGAGAGAGAGAGAGAGAGAGAGGATGTAAAGCGAGAGAGAAAGAGGGAAGAGAGAGGGGAGAGGGAGTGAAAGGCGGTGTGTTTTTGTTTTGTCATTATTGTTTTAACATTACCATCCTTTACTACTATTATTATCCATATGATCATTATCATCAATATCATTAATTGTGATAATTATGGTTATTGCTACAATCATTAGCCTATTATCACTGTTAATAGGGTTACGATTATTTTAATTATTCTTAGTTGTAGAAGTAGTAGTATTAGCATGCCATTATCATAACATTAATTCTCTAACATCACTGATCTCATTACCGTTAACGAATCAGGAATATTGATTATTATTAATTATCAAAGGAAATTTCACCGCCACTGTGGTACTAGGTAATCATATCCACTAATTATTTTGATACTCACTATTATTAAACTAAATGTCACTGCCACTGGTCCTACCGGTAATCATATCCACTAATTACTTTTGATACTATTATTAAAGTAAATTTCACCGACACTGGTACGATCATGGTAATAATATCCTATAATTACTTTGATACTATTATTAAACTAAATTTTACCGCCAGTGTGGTACTAGGTAATCATATCCACTAATTACTTTTGATACTATTATTAAAGTAAATTTCACCGCCAGTGTGGTCCTACCAGGGTAATCATATCACTAATTAAATATTTTTGATACTCACTATTATTAAACTAAATTTCACCGCCACTGTGGTACTAGGTAATCATATCCACTAATTACTTTTGATGCTTACTATTATTAAACTAAATTTCACTGCTCTGTGGTCCTACCAGGGTAATCATATCCACTAATTACTTTTGATGCTTACTATTATTAAACTAAATTTCACTGCCTCTGTGGTCCTACCAGGGTAATCATATCCACTAATTACTTTCCAATTATTTCCTTACCTTTTCAATTATACAGGTGGAGACTTTGTAGTTCCAGAGGAAGAAAATGTTATTCTGTATTGTGTTGCGTAGATTTTCCTCCACTTTGTAGCTTCTGCAATACTCCTGGACTTTCTTTTTCCTTTCTTTCAATGCTCGTTCTGTTTCTTGTCTTTCTCTTCCTCCGTTGTCTCTTTCGTCTTCTTTTGTCCCTCTTTCTGTTTCCTCTTCACTTTTATTTG